GTCTCTCTCTCTCTCTCTCTCTCTCCATTTAGTGTCGGTCTGTGGAGGGGCCCTTGTGCATGGGACAGGCTCGGACAGAACTCTTCTTCTTTTTCCTTCTCCTCAACCTTCATTACCTCCTCCGATTCACGCGCCCCGGGCTTGGCGGCTGCAGGCGGGCACACAACCCACCTAAACACACACATATATCTATATAGCCACTGCAAAGCAAAACTTCTTCCATCTCATATAAAAGAGGATATAAACGCGTAGTACGTGTGGGTGTCTACTCAGGTGTAAGGAAACAACAGTCAGATCCTATCCAATGTCGAGTACCGCGGCGTATCGTGATTTTGATTACGAGCGGCGCTTTGGCGACGTCAAACGGCTCGAAAAGGCGGTCACTCACTTCAGCCAGGCAGTAGGGAGAGGCATGATCGCTATGAAAGAGATTGCAAGCTCATTTGAGGCTGTTGGCGGGGTGCTAGCAGAAATGACATCCGCAAATTCCGTAGCTACACAGTACATGGAGAGCAAAGTTCTCTCCCCTGAAAATCGTAGTTCTAGTACAGAGCAGCATGCTTTTGCTGCTACTCCTTCTACTACTTCTCCTGCGGCTGCTTGTCTGCCAGGGTGGGACTCGGTATCAATGCTTGGCGCCAGCGTTGCCCCTGGGTCGCACATTGACGATGATGCGGCAGCACAGATGCACCGACTAACGGTACTTTTTGCGGAAGAAGCGAGGCGACTCAACGAGGGACAACCATTTTTGTTGTACAACACAGGCGTGCACCGGGACGTGGTTAATCGCCTGCTTCCTATTGTTGAACATCTAAAGGCTGCGGATGCAGTTGCCAAGAAACGCGATGAGGCACTGGCGAAGTATCAAAAGTACAAATCGTTGGTTGAAAAGAGGGAGCAGCATTATGCCAAAAAAGGTAAGGCTTTCGTGGACCATGATGGTTATAAGAAGGCGGCAGAAAAGCGAGATGAGGCTTGGAAAGCGTACGCCGCGGCACGTGGCAAGTTCTATGATGCCTATCGTTTGCTTATGGAAGTACATGGGCACGCTGTGGCACATATTGTACATCGCTATCTCACCTTGAACGGGGGGTACCTGCGGGAATTGCTTTCCGCCATTGAGTCTGTCCTTCCCACCATGGAGCAAATATATCCCACAAACATTGAGTTTGGTTCACAGGCGCCGTCCATTTTAAGCGCAGTCGCTCTGTTGAATCACAACGCGCCGGGCGCGACGGCACCAGGAAAGGAGGGGAACAGCGCGGAGAAGGAACCCCACGTCAGTGGGGCAATTGCAGAGGAAGGAAAGAATGGCGACGTTCAGCGACTAAACTCCGGGGGACTTGACGCATATGACATGAAGCAATGGGAGCAATTGCCTGAGCTACAGTCGGACGGGGAAAAGGCGAAGAGCTTGCCCACGCCGCTGCCAGGGGCCGTCGAAGAGGCTGGGGGCGTCGTTGAGGAGGAGGTTGGCGACAGTCATCGCGAATCGGGTGTTTTCGCTTCGGTCGCCACCGCGTCCGCGAAGCGTGCGAACTCGCAGTCTCAAGAAGTTGCCATGGGCGCCCATGATGTGAAGGGCTTGGACGAAATCGTGACACGCAGCACTCTGGATAGTATCAGGTTGCCGAGGGAACATGTTCCAGCCTCTGAGCTTGGTCCGAGGGGGAGCGAATACGAGGGCGGCAGCGGGCAAAAAAAGGGAAACACCGTTTACAAGGATCCACACGCCTGAACCTTGCGCGAATAGCAACGCAGATGATTATTTGTATTACTGTATTTGTGCGGGCGCCTGAGTGGTGCGGGGTGGTTCGAATGACGCGGGTGGGCAAAGTGGTAAAAAAAAAGACTTCCGCTTTTGATGTGTACAATGCTGGCTGCTTCGTCCGCACATTATCCCCGTCCTCTTCATCTTTATATAAGTATCTGTTTCTTTATCTTGTAGTTGAAGCTTCTGGAAGGGATAGGCCACCGGATGGGGGCCAAGTAAATGACTGAGTGCCTTCTTTATCTCTCCTTAGTTTATATGATGATTACTTTATTTTTCTGGCCATGCCGCGGCGGTAGACAGCGTGTGCCAGTGTTTGTGCTTGTTTTTGCATTGCCCTCCACGCGCAATGGAGTCTGCTGGTTGCGGGAACCCAAAGGCTGCCAGTTCGCCAGGCCACAGCGAGGGCCCGGCTACGATAGCAGTACGTACTTTGTATTCTTCTGCGTGTGTACGGTTGCGCTGCTTGCATCTTCTTCTGAATAGAGACGCGGGGCGAACGCCAAGCCACTCCCCCCTCTTGCCTTCACTTTCGCCGCGTTCGCAGGAAGGAGAGAAACTTCAGCACAAAGACCATGCCCCACTTTTTTTTCGTTCAGAAACAATTATTCCTCATTTGCGACGCGAGCCTTGCTGAGGCCACGGTGACTAATCGCAATGCGTGTTATCGCGCGGGTGGGCGCCTGGCTCGCAGGCCTTGAGGCAGACCGGGCAAAACAGTGCCTGGCACGCTGTGACTGCCAGTGGAACGGCCGGCGTGTGCGTGTGCGGGGGGTTTCCCCGAGGAGGGGGGTCCTCTACGCTCGGGGCGGCCGACACCATCGACATTTTTTTGGGGGGCCGTTGGCTGCGTGGCGATGCGGCGCGGCCGACCCAAGTGAGGCGAGGCGCCCGCGCAACACCGCGCCAGAATC